CCGCCACAATGAGCTGCAAGTTGCCCGAGAACAGCCGACGACGCCTTCTGATCGCCAGACCTGCCTCCAGGCAGGGTCATCAGCCAACCTGCATGGGCGATGGGCACTCGCGCTTGAAGCGCGGGTCTACGCGGCGCCCCCCGCAGACGGCAGGGCGATGAGGAAACCGCGGGTCTGCGCCCCAAAGTTTTTTTTGGTTTTTGTCCGGGCCCCCCCCGCTCAAAACTCAAACTTGCTCGGGCATCGATAGGGTCGACTCCGTGTCCTGCCCGGGGGTCATTAGGGGCCGCGGCGAATGGCCACTGCGAGAATCGATTTGAAATTGCGCGGGTGGGCGCCATGCGCGCTGAGGGCCAAGGCCAAGCGGCAAGACCCCGAGGTCTTCCTGATGGCATCTAGCACCGCCCGAAGGAGGGGGCCAAGACGCTCGCGAGATTGCGTTCCCGCGCCAGGGGGGGGGGGGGGGGCGAAGATGCCTTCCTCGGCTCAACGCAACGAACAGAAGCGTAACTGGGAAAACTCTTGGGGCCCTCCCAAATCTTGCCTTGCGAACCATCGGTGCACGTGGGGGGGCCCAAGCCTCCCGGGGTCGGGCCCACTTGCGGGCGCCAGTTCCCGCCCCCCCTCAATGCCGTCGCGCAGCGAGTCCTACCGGCTAGAAGACGCCTGGGCAAGGGCAGTGGGGAAGGCGCCCAGCGCGAAGCCGGCGTGCTCCAGGACCCCCAGCCCAGGAACTCTCTGGGAAGCCCCCCAGGCCGTGGTCACTTCGCTCTGCAGAAACAACCTGAACATGATCGGTGACCTGCTGGGAAGCAACCGGGCTTGGTGGGTTGACATCATGACAGAGGCCTAACCCTGATGCGCGCGGTCTCCCTGAGCACGCGCAATGATGGGCCTAGCGTCGCCCTCCCGTCGGCGGGGCGAGAACGACTCGGGCTGGCGAGGCTTCCGCTGGCGGTCTCGACGTGCGCGCAAGCTTGAAAACCCTGCCGCAGGTTCCTCTCATGGGCAGCTGGGCTTGGCTTGGGCCTTCGAGCTCAGGCTCCGGCGCATTCGCCCACATCTTGCACCATGTGTTCACGGGCCTCTGAATGGGTGGCCCGGGCGAACCAGACAGAGCAAGCGAGGGGCCACGCTCGGAACCATCCACGATTACCGACCAGCTGGCCACGCGCGGAACAGGTCCGATGGGTGGGGGAGGGCGGCGGGGAGCCTCGCGATGGCAAGATGCTGGAAGCCAGCAGGCGACTGGTGGACCCCAGGGCCGGACGGGCCAGCGCGGACGGGCGTCCGTCACCGCTGCGCCAAGTGCCCGCCGCCGCGAGGAAATCGAGAGACCCGCCCCTCTGGACAGCGCTGCTGCGCGAGACTTGGCCAGGAAGATCAATGATGCCAGCGCCGGGCCCAGCCGCGAAGTCGGGCTCGGCCGGGGTCTGGGGCGACGCATTGGAGCCCCCGACAAAGAGGAAGGGCGTGGTGGGTGGGGTGGTGTGGTAGCGGTGTGCGGGCGTGCGAGCGCGTCTGAATGTGTGTGTGTGTGTGTGAGTGCGTGTGTATGTTTGTGTGTGTGTGTGCGTGTGTGCTTGTGTGAGCGTGCATGCCACCCCCTGCCTGAATCCCCCAGGCAGCGCCGCGACCTGGGCGGGTCACTGGGCACCGAGCCACGTCACAGTAGCCTGCGCAATCACGAGCCCGCACCGCAGCGCCACCAGACGCGCCGCCGTCAGGCGCGGCCAGGGCGGGACTGGTTCGAGCCAGCCAGCCACGGCGACGAGCCCAGGCCGGAGCTTCCCCCGCCGCGTCCGAACGAGCAAGATGATGCCCCCGAAATGCATGTATATGAGCGGGGGGGCCTGTGCAATCCAGGGATCCGCCGACGCCCAGGTAGTGGAGCTCACAGCTTCAATCAATAATGCAAAATTGCATGGGCCTGGATTGGCTGGGGCCCTGGGGTTGACATGTAAAATCTGGGGTCTGACCGCGACCGCTAGCGTGGGCGGGGAGGAATGCGAGCGCTGACTGGGCCAGAGGCTGTTGAGCACACGCAATCTAGATGATGCCCTCCTCAGGGCACTGGGGGGCTTTATTGAAGGGCCCCTGGAAGCGTCCCGCGCCGTTTTGGCATGGGACGCCGCCCTGAGCCAGGGCGCAAGAGTCAAGGGGCCCCAGGACACACAAATAAATACACACAAATATAAGAATTCCCCATATTTCCACATATTTCCGGGTTTTTGTCTTCCCGCCCAATTCCCATATTTTCCCATATTTTCTGCGGGATCGACGATTAATTGTGTCTGTGTGTTTTTTCTCCTCCTGAAAGAGGCCTCCCAGAAGGCGCCCCAGATCTCAGCAGACTAAAGCAACGCAGGGCCCGCGGGCAGGGGCCGCCGCCGGCCTCGGGCCGCGGCGCCATGCGGCGGCGCCTGCGGGCCAGGACTTGGGGATTGCGGGATGTCCTGGGGCGGCCGTTCAGCGCGAGCAGAACGCACTCCTGAAGGTTACCCATATGGAGTCAAAGTGAGAAGCACCTCAAGCTTTGGCCCTGCTTCGCTGTTGTCTGTGAGCGCCCGCTTGGCGCGCCCGCGCGCGACCCCACCGTCGCCAGATACTGCGTCATTGTCTCCATCGCTCTGGGCCTACCCCGGACCCGAACCCGATGAAGGAGCAGCGCCTGGAGATGGACGTTCGCTGCATCGTCACCTGGTGCAGCTGCTGAGGTACCATCACGTTATGCCATGTTGTTAGTTTTTTTGCCAAGCATCGCTTCGCCCAAAGCACGCGAAAAACCAGTGCACACCCGTGGCCAACTGCTTCTGACGCTCCAGAAGTACTAGGGCCTCCCCTGGCGTAAGATCATACTCTTCTGGTGGTGCGCGAAAAGATCGCCGTCCTATTCGGGGAGCTCTCGCTGCAGCGTCTCAACTTCTTTCTCCTTGGTACTGGCACACTGCCCTGCACGCTAGCAGTCGCGCACTCTTTTGTTC